GCGATTTAAACTTCGTTAATTTTACGTGTGACCAGAATAGGAAATGTCAATATCGCGAACCCGCTGCGATAGCTAGACTATGCCCAGTACTTCTTGACATACGTTCATTTCACTTAAAGGTGTTAGGGTTGAATCGATTCCGACGATGCAACTGTTACGTCTCAAGTATGGCATCGATCCCAACTATAGTTGGGACCGTCCGGACGCGTCCCAACTATAGTGCGACAGTTGGGTCGGCCCAATGAAGTTAGGACGCTCGCCGCATGGCGCTGGATGAATGACGCCGCATTTTCACTGGTACCCCCAATCAAATCTTCAGATTTCACCCCCAAAACAGTCTTCAAACTGCCTTATGCGCCCCTGTAGGCTTCAGTGGGAATTGGAAATACAAATTAATGGTGGTGGTTAGGTTCACATACCGGTACCTTTGGGAAGAAAAGAGACATTTCACCTTCAATTCGGGAAACATCCTCGTCGCACACTTGTTTGAGATTAGTTTGAGACTGCTATTTTGAATTCAGGAAAAATTAACTTGTGCATGGCTCTGGCTTGACTGTTTTCTGGCTTCGCTCGTACCCCCCGTCCTGCAAACAGGGCGCTGGGAAGGGCAGATGAGCTTCACGGAATCTTGTGAAGGAAGTTGGGATGGCACTCTGGGTAATTTATCATGACCTATGTATAAAGCATCTGCCTGCAGCTGTAGACCGCAGTTAGCCAATGCGCGTAAATGCTATCCGAAAAGTTTGCCATAGAAATACATACACACCATACCGGATGTGATTTCTTTTTCATTGCGGACCATGTGGACAAATTTCGAGCGTCAAATGATATGCATCTCAACCCTTCGTGAATTCGAAACGGAGCCTGAGCAACTGACGGGAGTTGAAAATTTACAACACAGATAAGTTTTACAGATTTTCCTACATTATTATGGTTTTCAACCAAAAACAGGGCACTGCATTTATGAATGGGAATAAGAGAGTGATGAATGACTCAGTTTTAACGGCCGTTTCAAACCTTGCAGTGTCGTGGTCGTGATGACTTGCAGGTCACAGGTCACGCAAAATCTATCCAATCAGAGCGTTAATTGGTCAGCCCTTCCCAGCATCCTGTTTGCAGGGCGGGGGGTACGAGCGAATTTCCTGGCTAGCATCAGACAGACCAATCACAGGGCACTTTGATAAGGCGACCAATCCAGGTGACCAATTGAAGCGCCCTGTGGTTGGTCTGTCTGATGCTAGCCATGAGCTAGTCTGGTTCCCAGTTCCCATTGTCCTTCAGACTCCAATATTTTTAGGGGCCCCAGGAATCAGTCCAGCCAGGAGCCATGCACAAGTCAATTTTTCCTGAATTCAAAATGGTAGCCTCAAACATGGCGAGTGCGACGAGGATGTTCCCCCATGGAAGGTGAAATTTCTCTTTTCTTCCCAAAGGTATGTGAACCTAATCACCACCATTTGTATTTTCAATTCCCACTAGAGACTACAGGGGTGCATAAGGCAGTTTGAAGACTGTTTTGGGGGTGAAATCTGAAGATTTTGATTGTGGGTACGAGTGAAAATGGTCAAAAATAATTATTGGTAAACGCGATACAGCTATCAATCTCAGACTCTACTATCGCCCGACCATGTCCAACTGTTTAAAAAGGTGATTCGTAGAGTCCTAGTTACTCGGACTACTCACATAGAAGCATTCTTGAAGTCTGCTTTTTAAAGTTTTACGCCAAATCTTGCATTTGAACAAAATTTGAGGGAAAATCTGGCCCCAGATCTCGACGTTCTGCAACTTCCTGACTGACTACATTCACACCAACCTCGTCCCTAGTGCTTACTTTATTTCCAAACTCCTTTCCAATAGGAAGCAGGAAGTGGAGACGAGGTTGGACTTTCCCAAACTGACGCATGCGCATTTTATTATACCGTCTTGTTTCGTATGATTCGACGGCTGTTTTCTGTCGCAGCTAAAATAGACATCGTTTTAGACAATTTTCCAGTCCTTTCCTCTCTCACCGCACTGCGCGCGGGCACACTACTGCTCGTCTTGACGCGAAAATAAGAGGAAATCTAATTTTCATTTTTCTGAACAAACAACCTACTAAAAAAATACAAGGAATTCCTAAGCAAAAACTGCAAAGCAAATTTTACACCTTGGTTTTGAACATTTAGTTCTTGTGCTTTGTGTATTCATTAAAAAATAATAATAATAACACAAACAGGTGGATCTGGCTTCGTATAAATTGATTTCTTCGTATAAGAATATTCTTGTCTTTTTCACTCTAATATCCACATTTTATTTTCATTAAGTTGAAAAATGCAGTCATTACACTTTCCACCTCTTGTGCCATTGCATTGGCAAAATTGAATACAATGTAGTTGCTCTTCATGCTCTAGCTTACACCTGCTACTAAGATCAGAAAAAAAATCGAAAAGCTAGACATGGAAAAGATTCTTGCTGATCTCGTTGGTGAACTGGGATATAAATTAAGTACGCCACCAAGACAATCCAGAGGTCTTCTTATGGACAAAAAAGATGTAGTAGCTGTCCTCCCCACAGGATCTGGGATGCGACATGAAACAGCCGTCAATCTGTCCAAGCGACAACCATAATCGTATGCATCACATGAAGCAGACGGGTAGCTCGGAGGGCTCAAGTTTGCACGCAATTGACCCTGGGTACTTGTCCAGTTAACGTTAGAATTTTATTTCCACACGTTCGTATGGGTCTTCAGTTTTTGACAAATTTCTTCTAAATGACACATCCTGAACTCACGGATAGGCACACAAAGATTTCTAGGTACCGGTAAGTACTCAACCTGCATACAAAATGATGTACCACGGATCGATTTCGCGTGGTTCGAAATGATAATGCCGTATGGCATTGTATACAACGCCACGTTCACAGGTCTAGATAGACCCTTCCAGAATGGCCTCCCCAAAATTGTCCTTTTTCACCTCTATTATCCTAGCCAGATTCCATTTACATGTACGTACCTCATTAGGTCTGGGACCAGCCCTAAATCTAGCGAGGTCGCTAGATTGTGCAACGGTCGCTTGATCTAGCGACGATGACGTCAATTACGTCACCATTGATGAAGATGACGTCATTTGTTTGTTTTGTTTTTTATAGCTCCATGCACCAAGTTACCGAGAAAAAATTAAGCCGAAATTTGGCTAAAACGGTCACTCAATTACTGTAACCGCAGATCACAATAGTGTAATTTTACTGTTGATTGAAGCGTGGCTATAGGCTATGTTCGCAGGTGTAGAGTGACTCCAGCACCAATGCACATCAGGAATTTGATATATGGCTGGAGCTAAAACTATGTTGTAGATACTAGATTCTCAGAGGCCCTAAGAAACAGGTCTCTCTGTATCTGTATGACAAAAATGGTCCTTTTCCCTCCCAGATTTATTTAAACATAGTTCATTATGTTTAGTGGCATCTGGGTTGGGATTAATAGAGGGAAAAGGGACAATTTTTGTGATAAGATACAGAGAATCCCGTTTTTGAAGTTACTCAAGATAGGGTGATCGTGTATAGTATGGGCCCGGTTCCTATGGGAACAAATTCCACGTGTGTTAATGGTGTAAATCAAAGGCTTTCTTTTGTTCCGCTTCCCTTTTCCTTTGTTTGTACGTGGTGTAGACTCACACGACATCCTTCATTGAATCGAAGCAACGATGCATTTTTTCCTTGGTACATCACTCGGACCATGTGATTTCAAATATTTTGTTCCTACTCTACAGTCGTATAAACTCTTGCAGGATAGGTCGTCTAAAGCTGCGTCAGAATTTATACACACGCAGAAATGTACATACATCGTGTGGTTTCCTCGACCAGAGCCCAATAGCGCAAGACAGTGCATGCTTGCCAGTGCATGCAGGCGTGGGGCTATCTAGAAATAAGTCTTGAGGTATTGAGATCTTGCGTGGTCTGTTCCAGGAGAGAACAGAACCCAAATAATTGGAAATCAGTGGAATTTAAAGGCACAGTGGAATTTAAAGGCACAGTGCAGTTCAGCGGTGCACATTTACTTTATACTCAAGGTTGTGGAGTGGGCGAACGTACAGCAATACGTTCATTCAGTAAATGGCTACTGCCAAATAATTAGTGTCACAACACAACATGCAGTCAGCGCGAGCACAACTGTGAGTGTTTAGCAGTTTAGCACTGTGAAATTGTGGCTGACAGATAAACAAGTCATTAAAAGAACAAATATCTTTAAGTTCTCCGCTCATAAAAAGGTCAGTGATCCTAAGTAATTCAGAGAGTACCATCCTCAATTTATGAACTTCATTAACCCTAACCGAACTCAACCCATCAAAGTCCAACAGCAGATGTTGTTGAAATCTGTTAAAATGGGTACAGTACCCCTAAACTGATGGTCTTTTACATTGGGTTTGGCATACCTCCTTGGTAAGAATTTGCCTGGATGGGTATGGTTCCTAGTAAATTATGGTAGGAAGTTAGGGTTAAGCATTGGAAGAAAATAATAAAGCATCCTGGTGATTTTTGCTACACTACACACCACACAACGGAAACACAAGCTGTGTTCAGAGCTGCGGCATATGTCCTTGCTTGATGGATCATGGACTGAGCGGCCATGTGCATGCGCCGTCTGCAATTTGGGAAAATGATGCTGCTCAAATGAATCTTGAGAATCAGTGATTGCAGAGAAACAGAAACAATACGTACACAAACAAAAAACTGCCAGTCTTGTGAAATTACATGTACTAGCTAAAATGTTTAGATAGAGTTAGCTGTTTCCCAGGCATTCAAACTTTTCAGTTTATTGTCCTTATCGGGTGGATACAAGTCCAATGTGTGCTAAGCAAGACCTGAGAGACCAAACACTTGTAGTTGACGTTGATGTTGGGAAAGTGGTTTGGCAATGCTTTGTGCGCTCTCAATCAAAAAAGAAATTCTGAAAGGGGGAATAATTTTTTTAATAGTTCTTAAACATCTTGAATCTCCTAAAACTTATATAATTGTACAAGAAGTTCATGTTTGCTCTTATGCAGGTGCAGCAAGTGGCTTGTCTGTCATCATGTTGGCTCATTCCAGTCAGACACCGAACCCGCATTAATCCACCCAAGGCAACCAAAAAAGGTCGCTTACTGCTTAAAGACCAGGAACGGCTCAAGCTGAAGGAAGAATATAAGCAAGATCCGCAAAAGATGCTGATAGAAACGTTAAAGAAATCTGGCATTAAACCATGCCCATCCTTCACAGAACGTGCAGTCACAATAACTTGTACAGGTAATCTTTGTGTGTTGTTTGCCAATTAATGTCGAGGCAGGTATAAATTGAGAGGATGAGAAAGCAGTGGAGCCGTTGTAAACATCTGGTAAATTAGTAGGGGGATTGGCTGCAGAAAACGGCCCAAGCTGAATGTGAGGGCTGTTATTTGCGACCACTGAGGTTTTAAACCTTTCCCGACCGCACTGTTTATTTACATGGCTCTAAACCGAATTGTTAGCTCGGTAATGAGGAAATCAGCATGAAATATAGACCACCATTTGAAAACTCTAGATTTTCATTATCAAAATGGAAACAAAATGTGGCCTAGAGCATGGTGTCTTGCAACTGGTTCCTGATGTAGCTGGGGGCGTTTGCACGCCAGCTTGGGGTACAGGGTCTGGACCTCGTAGCTTGGGGAGTGAGTCCCGGCTAAGGGGTGGACTAATTGACAGTGAGATATGATGCTCAGTCATAGACTTAACTCCAGGCCAATGAGGCCTGGATGGATCCTTGGAATCCTGTAACAGACACTGTGGAACCAAACAACATGGTAGACGTCATTGCAAATCAATGCGCGTGAAAATATACGAACAGTCATTACTGAACTAAGGGGACTTTGTCTTCCAATCAATATTATGAAATAGATTCAATATAATTTGTAACATGGTGCTATATACATACATACATATAGGCATTTTTATAGCGCCCCACAAAGATCGGAGCGCTTTACAAAAGCTGACAAAATAATTAAAGATACAAACAAAAAATGCATTGATACAGATACAAAAAAAAAAAACTATACAAGCAAAATAACAACTGGCATGATTAAACAAATAAATGGGTTTTGAGTCTAATTTTGAAGAGCTGAAGTGTGTTGGCTTCCCGGATGTTACGGGGAAGGGAATTCCACAGCCGGGGAGCAGCGGCTTGAAAGGCACGATCTCCAGTACGCGACTTAGTTTGGGGGTTATGGAGACGTGTTTTGTCAAATGATGAGCGGGTGGCATAGACAGATGTGTTGAAAGAGATGAGTTCTTGGAGATATGAAGGTGCCATAGAGTTGATACATTTGTATACAATGACAAGAAGTTTAAAATTTATGCGTGCTCGAATATATAATTATCCCCACTCAATTGTGCAGAAAAATATTATCTGTGACAATGAAAATGCAAGAGCTAGTTTCCTATATAGTCCGTGGGACGAGAAGCCAAAAATGCTTTGGTTTTTGAGATACATGATCTGGTCCGCCAAATTTTATAAAACTTTCCAGACATGTAGTTTATGATGTACCATTTTAAAAAAACTTTGTTCCCCGATCCACAGTTTGTTTGGGAATGAGAAAACCTGGGTTAAAAATGCTGAAATTTCTGCATGAGAAAAAAACATAAGAATTAGTGCCCTCTATTGACACAGTCAGAAACCTTTTCGCACGCAATGAGTGCTTGCCAGATAATACTTCTTCCAAGTTTCATATTACATGCATATTCTAGATTTTTGTTATTATTTCTCATCAGGATGCCAAACCCTTTTTATTACAGTTTGTCCAACTTGAAATGATCAATGCAAGTTTGAAGATCGAATGTTATGTATTAGCTACTGGTACATACAAATTGATTGGCCGTATACATGTAGTTAAACTGTACCCCAGATGAGAATCTCAGTGTAACATCTTTCAGTTCTGTCCTAGCCTTTTTCAAGGCGCTAGTTGTTTTTAATCCGGCCATAGCGCGGTAATGCCTGCAGTCATAATGTCTATGCGCTATGCATGCAGTTCAGTGCATTAAAAATACAGCGCGAACAGCGACCTCACGCGGCCACTATTTTTATGCAAATCAGTTGGACCCAATATAGCGCCTTGGTTCAAACGTCCATGTGAGGTTTTGGGGGTGGTGCTCATTATGTTAATAGCCTTAGCTGACCTTAAATGTCGTTTTCTTATTGGTCGATCGTTGCGTGGAAACTTGCTTTGTAAAACGTGGCACCGTACATAATCCATACACGTGCACGTACACGTTATGTGTCTCTGCACACGGCACCAATGCACAAAAACTGTGGTTCCTGTCACGTCCGCAAAAGGCGAATAGCTAGCTGCAAACAATTTGATGACGTCCGGATTTACCAAGCCCCGCCTACACTCATCTGTATTCACATACGAGGTCGTGCGCTACAAATCCAGCGCAAAATAAAGAAAAACTTAAGCTTTTGCCGACGATTGAACCAAGGCGCGATATTGGGTCCAAACTAATTTGCATAGAAATGGTGGCCGGGTGAGGTCGCTGTTCGCGCTGTATTTTTATTGCACTGCATAATGCATGGCCCTAGCGAGGATATCGTTTACGCGCCATGGCCGGGATGAATAACATCTAGCGCCTTGACCAAGGCTAGTTCTGTCCCCCTTTTTTAGGGGGGGGGGGGGGGGGATTTTTGTCGAAAAGCCATAAATTAAATTTTTTTTAACAGACTTCCACCCCCCCCCTTTTCAATAGCAGCGACGCAGAATTTTAAAAAGGAATTATGTACATGTATATCAAATAAGTTGAAGCGTCTGATTACAAAACTACTCAAAAAACAACTCAAGTTGGCATTCATTAAAGGTACTTAGGTTGATTTCATTTTTGATTACACTTTTATAAAAAAAAAATGACTCATAAATAAAAAGAAGGCAATAACTGCAAATAAGTTTTTTTTTTATATTCCAGGCACAATGTGGTTTAAGTAATCACCAAAAGAAATACAAATAGTGATTTATTTAATATAATATAATTGTATTTCATTTATTAAATTTTTTTTGGGGGGGGGCCAATTTAAACATGCACAGTTTTTACCTACACAAGAATGGTATTAAGATGACATAAGTTTGTTCAATCTGTACTGAATGAGCATTACACATTTTATTTTCAACTGAGAAGACGAGCTATATGAGCGCCTGTATACATCACAGACCGATTGCATAATTGTTGTATATAACATGTGAAAAGTCTCATCAAATTGAAGGACCCACTTTCTGCTTGCAAACGTTTGTTAAGGGAAAATGAATATATTCCCCTATTTGGAAGCTTTGAGTGGAAGCATTACAACTGCAATTATTTTGTTTCAGCTTAAACCGTCTTACCGTTTTAATTATTTTGAATATTGTTTTAAGAACCGATTCATGTTTTGTTGATGCTTCATCCATTCCGTGAAAATCACCAATAAACCCCAATGGCCCACCCTCTTCCTTTTTTGAGGCTGCATCAAATTGTTATACCTTTTTTTTAAATTTCAGGCATCCTTTTTTTTAAAAGATGTTTCAAACACCAGATGCCAAACACTTCTGTTATTGTGGAAAACATGTTACCCTGAGATAAGAGTTCATTATAAAGAGATAAATTATTCTGATCTGGGGTACCAATCGAAGTTTATGTAGCAAATACATAATATTCAATCTTAACTTTAAAACTTGATCATTTCATGTTGGACAAAACTGCAACAAAGATATTTTGGCATCCAGATGAGAATTAACAAAAATCTACAATATAATATGAAAGAAGTATCATCTGGCAAGCACTCATTGGCTGAGTTCGGGCGGGTCTTGTTCTTGACATGGGTATATATCATTCTTGCAAACCCCAACGCGACGGGTAGGTGGCGTGTGATCCTATTCCAAGTGCATTGTTTTGAGTTGAGTTTCCGCCGCACCGTTCGAGTGCAAGAACAAGAAAAAATACTGGCTTCATTAACAGACCGCCAATCTCGTACGGCAATTGCGTGAGAAAAGGTTTTTGACTATGTCAATTGAGGGTGCTGTTTCTTATGTTTTTCTCCTGTAGAATTTTTGGCATTTTTATCCCAGATTATCTCATTCCCAAACAAACTGTGGATCAGGGAACAAAGTTTTTTCGATTATGGTACACCATAATCTACATGTACATGTCTGTCAGGGTGACCGTAAGGTCAGAGCCAAATTCTGCTAAATGCACATCAAAAGTCTGTCAGATTTATCAAAAATCTGCCAAATTCCCCAGAAAAATCACATGCACATTGATAGTATTGGCTTAATTAAGATTTAAATTACATAATAAACAATCTAGTCACATAAACTTAAGATGTTGTGAAGTTATTGGTAAATTTCGGGCAAAACGCGGATCTGGCCAAGACAAAGTCCGTTTCCCAGTGAAACTCAGCACCTAGACCAGCCAACCTGTCTATTATGCAAGGGTTTGTTTGAAAGGATTGAAGCTTTTTTAAACAGTGTACAAATGTACACTTTTTTGTTCAAATTTGCTGTTTTTCTGTCAAATAACCAATTTTGCAGAATTCTGCCAGATATCTGCCCAAAAACTCCATTCTGTCAAATTTTCTGTCAAACTCGTTGTTTTTTTTACAAAAATTCTGTCAAAGTTAAGTTAGCCAAAAAGCGGCTAAAACGGTCACCCTGGTGTCTGTGAAGTTTTATAAAATTCAGCGAACCAGACCGCGTGGCGAGCGAAAAAAGGCCTCGTCCCACGGAACTTCAACTTTTTACATGGAACTTCATGCTTTGGACAGCATCTTTTTGATCAATAATTCATGGGATGGGAAATAGCATACTGTATGTGCATTGATGCCAACCTTGATTTTTGATTTAAGGTTGAAATGAGTCTAACGGGCTCCGTGAGCGGGCGAGAGCCCTTTAGACGGGACACACTGCATGTATTTACTGGTTCGTAGTCGTTCGTATGCACGGCTAAGTTTATTCTAAATGTGCACAACATATTAGCATCTTCGCGTGAACGTTAGGCATCGTTGGAATGCTTCAAATGTAATTTCGAGTGGTCTCCCCCAACTCTCTCTTTCTACAGTTGAGGGGGTACTTGTGCACATAGACCATGGACAGATTTTCACTTGTTAGTTTTTCACTTGTGCAGTAGGGAGTGCATAATTTGCTCTCCATTATGACATACCAACTCAATTTAACACCTAAATATGTACACACTAAGTGTACACACATACCGGTAACACTGTGTATCCACACTTTAACACCAAAATATTTTCATTGTTGACACAGGGGAAATATTTGAGCCATATGTCCCGCCTGAAGGAGATGGCAAAGCTATGTCTTTAACACCTGAGGTGAGTATTTCAATTATTATGTTCTCAAGTGGATCCAACTACAGTTGAATCTCGTTAATACAAGCACGGTTTAGATAAGATTTCGGTTAAGACGAGCATATTTCGTCAGTCCCGACCGAAGTGTGCACATTACTATGCTTAATACGAGCTTGGGTGATACGAGATGACGGTTAAGACGAACACTTTTTGCGGTCTGGCAAGTGCAAACCTATTGCTATCTGTCTATTTCCACGTGCATTTGGGAAAACAACTTGTCAATCAACGAACCTATTCAGTTTTAATTGGCACCGTGATGATGCTTGCCAACTTCAGCGCTGTTTTTTTTATACCACTAGCACACAATTGTTTGCGTTTTCACGTGGTGCATGAGGGGGCTGAAAGCGGACAATGGGCGTTTGCGGTTACCAGGCTATCGGAGGAATTCTTTATAATGGCTCTCGTGCCACCTGAACGAACGAGGCAGACAATAGGCATTTGCGATTCCCGCGCGATCACAGGGTTTCTTTATGGTGCTGCTCGAAAGAAGAAGGCCGACAATGAGCGTTTGTCCCGTACCATCAAAGGGGAATCTTCAAGTTTACGACGGCTTGCGCGTCCGAACGCAAGAGCATGCCGCATCATTGCGGTAGGCATACCATGTTTATTGTGCTTGAAAATAAAATCCCTGGAAAAAAATAAAATATCCCCCCCCTACAAAAATTCACTTACCAAAATTAGAGTAGATGAATCAAGTTTAGAAAAAAAAAATTCGAAAAATATTTAAATACCCTCCCAAAATCTCAGCTTACTTTTAAAAAAAAAATTTAAAAAAATTATAAGTGTGTTACAAAACAACAAATCCCTGAAAAGTATAAAAGTACCCTCTCCAAAAACTGTATCCCAAAAGAATTAAAAATATGCAGTTTATTAATTTTTTGGAAAGTTGAAAAGAAGAAAAATAGAAGAAAGCACTCCCACTTGACTTGAGATACGTATGGCACCAACATGGGGCGTCATGGATGAATGGGCACACCATCGCGACGTATAATACGAGGAACAGATAATGGAAGGCTTTTTAATAGTCCGTTGGAGCTCGACTGTATGCATGACATACGTAGGTCTGAAACCCGCCTCGCCTCATGTATTCTAAATTCGGTAATGTTTGCGCACAACCAGCCACGGCAATAGGCCTTGTCACTTATTGGAGGTAATGAGCTCTTCAAAACCATCCCTTCGTGAAAATGTTTCAACTCAACTCTGTAGCTGGCTCTTTGGAAAATACGCCTTGTGCGGAACTAATACACCTTACACGCATGTTTTTGCACACAAATACCGCGTCATGGAACAAGAATGATCCTAACTGTTGAATAGTACTTCCCCAAAAAGTCCCATTCTCCATGGGCGAATGGGATTTTTTGAGCCCAGGCGTGAATGGGAGCAATAACGAATGTCACGTGATGTGAGTTTCACCAATCAAATGACAAGGATCTGTATGTCGGTTATATAAAAAAATGCTATTTACTTTTTTACATGTTTTTTCCCATTAATCTGCAGGGAGCCAAGCAGCGATTGGAAAGAGTAAAAAATATAGGTGTGACTCAGCTGAATCAACGTAAGATTCGCCAGTTTGAACCAGAATTTACAGCCTCCGAGTTTGCCTGGAAAGCACAAAAGATCTTCATCGATGCCCATAATGCCTTGCAAGAGTATGTACATATGTATATAAATTTAGTTGAACAGTTTTAAAGTCAAAGCAACATTATTGCTTTAAATGATGTTCCAATGGCACATGTTGAATCTCAAAGCATTGGCAAATTTCATATCATGTTTTCTTCAATGGCAAGAAAGACAGGTATCAATACAAAAGGCCATTTCACACTAGACCAAATCTCGGGGGTGGCCTTGGGGTGACGAGGGGGTGAAAATAAGCCATGTTTCACACTTTTTTACCAACATGCTACCCCCGAGCCACCCCCGGGATTGCTCATCCCTGGGGCGAGTTCAACCCTGCTCAGGACCAGGGTTAAAATCTTATCCCCGGGGTGAGACACTTTCCCCGGGGCAAAAACTGTAGTGTGAACGAGCAGGGGTAAATTCCCCAGGGGTGAGCATCAGAGGGTTGAAAAATACTCAGGTTTGATTTAATTGAAACAATTCATCTGTAAATACCGTAAATTCTGAACAATGTGCACCTTTTTGGTGACTTTTCAACCGAAGCGATCCCAACAGTACCATCCAACAACCAAGGGCTCGATCGTAATCAACTGGACCTGGCAAGTTGTAAAAAATCCAATAAAAAGGTCGGAAAATTTACCTGATATTTTGACATTATAATCCACACGGGGTTTTATTCATTTCTCTTCTAATTTATTTAATAATATTGGATGGGTAATAGTAAGTAATTATAGTGACATATATTCAGCCTCATTCCAAGCCTGTATCGGAGATTGACTACGAACGAACAAAATTCATGCAATATATGTATGTATGTACACGCATACAAAGTTTAAAAAGTTAAATGAAACCTGTCAAATTTAACTAGTTGCTAAGATAATATATGGATGCTTTTACAAATGCTCCGTTCTTATTTGGTAGCTTATCAGTTTTATGACGTCATTTTTAATGGTCCGTAGCACGCATGATAATCGAAGTCAGTGTAAAAATAGGGCCAAGACTCAATGTGCATTCGACTTCGTGGATTAAATGAGGCAAGTTTTGTCACATATTTAATGTTTTGTTTTAATATCTCAATTCAGCAATGAAAAGCCCAGCATTTTTCATAAGTATGGTATGTTGCCTAACAAGCCGCCCCGAGTTTTGAAACTCGAGTGAGAAACAGTTGAGCAAATCCCCAGGGGCGAACTCGCCCCGGAGCAAGAAGAACACAGTTTGCGCGAAACGAGTCTGAAACGGTGCGGGATTGAACTCAAGGGTGAAAAATCAAGTCACCCTGTGGTGTCCCCAGGGCGGCCCCAGGTGAGTTCGCCCTGGGGAAGGGTGTTGTGGTGGGAAAAGGCCTAAGAAGCATGAGTTTTGGCATACATATACAAGGGTGAAGGAAAAACTTTGTCTGTCCTAAGGGGCAAAGTGTAGTAGATCAGCACATGTCCACATACCTTAAATGCCATTGGTGCCTAGATACTGGTAAGATGACATTCCTACATCTTTATCATCTGCAAAGTTCAAGGGCAGTTTTCAACCAGATTTTGCCTGTGCCAACCCTTCTGGATGCTTGCACGAAGAGACAGTCATCTGCATAGGCTCATGACCAGGCTTTTTATGGGTGATGGGGCTTAATCCCCATCAACCCTTTGGATCTGTGCTTCTGAGAAAAAAAAATGAGAAATCAGTTGGACATTGGTAAAAACAAATTTTACTTATGACCTTCACATTGGGATTTTCGTACCTAGGTCTCCATGAGCGTCGCGAGGGGGGGGGGGTTTAAGCAAAAAAAAACACCAAAAACACAAAAAAATGGAGGGGAAAGAAAAAGAACTAGACTTGCTAGTGTTTGTGGACAAACACATGGCTGTTTCTTCACTTTAAATGAGATATCGCATGACTCGTAATGACTTCATGATGACGTCAATGTTCGACACACAACTGCAGGTGCTGGTCTAAGTGTGTGCCAGATATAAAGCAATCGGATTGATTTTAGTGCCCAAAGTGCCAGGAACTAACAAAACATGTACAAATGCAATGGGCAAAATGACTGGAAAAAACACACAAAAAATAGATTTACTTATGTTACAAACATACGGCTGTTTCGGTCATTTTTGGGTGGTTGGGCACAACCCGACCACTGATTGGAGTTGTTACGATTAATCTTTCTTTCTTTCTTTTTTTGAGTGGTCAGGCACAACCCGACCACTCTTTGGAGTTGTTGCGATTAATCTTCTTTGTTTCTTTTTTTTCCCCGGACAATAATTCTCCTAAACGGTATATGATATGAACTTGTAACTTTCAACATATATTGACCCTCATCCCAAGTGTTGCATATTACCCTGACGTCACGATGATGTCATCAGGTGTCAATTTACAAATGATTTTTGGTATAAATATGACAATTTTCCGTCAATAATAACTCATGAACAAATGAACGATCATGTTCATACTTTGTGATCTGATGGACAATATCTTGATGAACATTGTTTGTTTTAAAGTCAAGGTCGTTTGACCTTTCCTTCCGGGGCTACCGGAAGGTCAAAGTTAAGTGAATTCAAAACAAAGATGTTTGCTTGAAATCAAAACAAAGCAATATTTCTTCCGAACGAATTATGGTATGATCATAAAACATAGACAAAACAGTTTGCGCTATATCTTTTGAACTAAATAGAATATCGTGTTCGTTTTTTCGTGAGGTTGTAGACTATGCCGTGAGAACATTTCTTGTTCCCAGACACAAAACTGCTTGATCTTTACTTCCGTTGTTACCGGAAGTGCAATAAAAACTGAATGTAACTGAAAAGCGGAAGCATTTTACTACAGACATGTAGGCCTAAATTATGAAAGTGTTTAGTGAGGAATGCCAGACACAAAAAAAACAGTATGACTCAGTAGCAAGTAAATAAGAAATGTACATGTACACATTGTACCAAGGTCGCTGGCCCCTGTGCCCAAGTAATGCACCAGAACAGTGCGGTGACCATTCACGACCTGATCTCATAACAGATTGGGTTTCCAACTGAATTTATTCACTGAATTCACTGAACATGCAAATGCATGGTATGGAGAGAAGTGATGTTACAAAAACATTTGTTGACTTACATGTATAACGGTCATTGCGAAACAGTTTTCTCGTTTTGTCTCTCTTGCTGATAGAGTTGATATGTAAAACTATGGTTGTTCAAATTTTTATTTGTGTCTACATACATAATGTATGTGTAGACCTACATAAAATGCATGCTTTGATCACATCCATTACGACATACATTGTTTTTTTACTGGAAAGTTAAAATTTACATGTAACCTTGATAATTACAGTGGCTTTATTCACATGTTTTTCCACAACCGCAGCATTTGCTTTTCATTCAGTACAAGAATCTGGGGGAAACGTATAATCCAACATTTGGCCCATTTCACCCTGGTCCCAAAGTGGGTTACATATTCTCTCAAGATTTACACCACACCTTACCTCAAAGAGCATGATGTGTTTTACAGTGTGATTGACTTGACCAAGGTGTAATTGACTGTAGTGTTTATTAGAGTCATATACATGTATTAAGCATTAAGGGGAGTTTTTTTTTTGTGGCATCTTGAAAAATTTTAAAGTTGAAGTTATCCATTTTTAGCGTTACAAAAGTGATGAACTTCCCAGTGAGACATCAAACAAAAAATGGGTCCATGCTTAGTTAACATGTGATTCCATTCGGCTTTTGAATTAGGAGTGAGACTTAAACTCAAGTCAAGCAAGACTTCAAGTCAAGTGAGACTCAAGTGAGACTTAAACTCAAATTTGTGTATTTTAATTTTATCCTAGTTTTGACAAGAACATTCTTCATCAATTAGCGACAGAGAAGGCATATCCAGTAAGTACCTGCATATGTTACTTGTTTAAACACCCCCAATTTCTGTTGAAATGTACATGTTTGTTTTTCTCAGTGAAATACCTAGTTACAGCATTATTCTTTCCTTTTTGTATTTCAACCTCACTGTTGTGCATTACCCACAGGATTCCCCCCCTCAAAAAAATCTCAAAGCACACTTGCAAATACATGTATTGATATATATTTGAAAAGTATAGTTTGTTAGCTTTGCAACAAAGAAAAGTATTGATGTGTAAAGCTTTAAAAAGAGGGCAGTTTTGAGGGTCTGATTTTTTCAAACGATACAATGGGTCGTATGTATAAAAACTAGCATTTGCTTTTACTACCCATTTTTAAGCATTTACTTGCATTTGTATGAATAAAAATGAAGCAAATGCTTTTACTGGAAAGCATTTGCTGAAAGCTAAAAGTATTTACTTTTTACTTGCTAGCTTTCGCTAGACTAGAAGTGTTTACTTCATTTCGTATGAATAAAAAGGAGTAAATGCTTCAGATTTCAAGCATTTACTGGTCATTTTTCAAGGCTGGGTTGGGGCAACCTTGAAAATATAAAGCAAATACTTCTGCGCAAAAACTGCTGCATTTATTAATATTAATCGCCTCAAAATTGACACAAAACGTTAATAAACCACATATAATACCAAACACTGTATTTTGACTAACATTTATGCGCAATTTAAATACTTTTTTATTATGTATTTTATTACTAGAATTAGAAACGATAATTTCGCATTTTGCTCATGATATGAGAAGTGTTAGCGTAAAATTCAGTGCGGCACAGAATGATTAAGGATAAATTTTATCCAACGGCACCCTGGGGACTGAACAAAATGAAATCATTTGTTTAGTTTATTAGGTCACCAATCTTTGCAAACTAATTTTTTTAATATTTCAATAAACAAAACTCTTTGTGTATCGAATGTTGGTATGATTTTACCCACTTTAACACGTCTGTGATTTTTATGCAATTGTGACGTCTACAGGACACTGTGGACCTTTACAATTTTCATGAATGATGGAAGTATACTTTTTGTATTCTGCAACTGCCAAAAAGTGTCATCATTTTTGCTGGATTTGTACTACATGTACTGTATGCATCACCCTTGATTTGGACTATTACACCACTTGTAAACCATGTGTGTGTGCGCGGCAGTTCTTACACACAAAAGAAACCCTATTGTTGGCAATCATTCGTCCATGAAAACAATCCAACAGTAAGAAGCATTTGCTACCTGTTGTCTAGTAAATGCTGAACAGTAAAGGAAAACTTTTATTCATACGAAATCAAGCATTTGCTTTTCCTTAATGCTTGTACTAGCATTTACTAGTTTTATACATACGACCCATTATCTCATAGCATATATGCTGAGTTCTCTTCCCCATCTGCTGATACTCCTTCATGTTGTGTAGTGGTAGATAGTCAGGAGTTGATTGGCATTTTTTGGCAAGCTTTTAGGTTCACTCTAAGAGTGAGAATGAGAATTAAATATAGAGCAAGTATAGGTGGTGGTGGTGGTGAGATATGGTATATCAAGTATGGTTGACCCAACAATGTGACAGTACATATGGAGAGATTATTTCCAAAACATTGGGAAAAAAAAGGAAAAAGTTGCACCGTTGTAAAAACTTATAGAACATACACAGTATAACAGTGTTTCCAAACTACATGTTTTGCTGTGTACAAAAGTGCTTGAATAAATCCGTGTCATCTGATTGGTGGGTCGTTGATCACATGTCATAATTTATTCGCCCCAATGCACACCCCAGCTGCACCAAAAAAATACAAGTTCTATTCCACGGTACATAAAAGTTCCACTGCACGGCCACACTATTGGTGGCTCTGACCAATCAGATGATAACGATTTATTCATGTGTTGTATTAAATAATGAATGTTTCACATTTATGCTATGGAAAGAATGATTTCATTCGGTGACAGATTGAAAGTTCAATTCCACTCGGTTTCACCTCGTGAAATGGAACCTTCCATCCGTCACCTCATGAAATTATTACAATTGCACTCATAAACATTCATTATTTATGTATTTTTGTATTCTTAAATTGTTTTTAACTGTATTACAGCCGTCAAAACTGACTTCAGGTGACCAATAGAGGGCAGGATTGTGGAAACATGGCATTCATGCCATTGTTGGATTCAAACTCTTTATAAACCCATATGTGGCGTCAAATATTTGTTCATGTATTTTATTTGAGCGTAAAATTGCCTTGATAGTATTTGACAGTAGTTACATGTATTTGACTTGTGTAACCCACAGAGAATGTTTGAAATGTTTGGTATTTTCATTGTTATCCAGGAAATGACGAAAGGTTTCCGTTTCAAAACCATCAGATGGAAGTTTCTGGAGTCTATCGAGAAGCCAAGAGTTGTTCATATCCGTACCACAGATATGATAAATAAAGGAAACTTATATGGCCAAGTCACAGTTAGATTTCATTCCAAACAGGTAAGTTTATTTAAGTTTTGCACTCAAGCAAGTCACAGCCAATCATGATAGTATTATAAATGGTGGAAGGAAGGACAAGTCTGTCAATCTCTCCATGGCCTTATGTACATAAGAGAGGCGCTACTTTTCCATTGAAAGTCTGTACATACAAATCTTACCCATCTCTGCTGCACTGCTTCCAGTCTGTTTTGTGATCCTGATAATATGGGTCCCAGATGCCGGCGCAATACTCCAGCTTAGGTCTAACCAGGGTTTATTTGTAGGCAGGCTTTCACCTTTGCTGACCAGCAGTAACGGTTTCTACTAAGTAGCCCGAGCACCTTATTTTCTTTGGAGGTGGTATTACTGCTGATGTGATCAGCCCAGCTTTACTTGTGGTTTATTTCTACCCCCAGGTAGGTATGACAAGATTTGTATGTACAGACTTTCAATGGAAAAGTAGCGTCTCTTCAATGATCAAAAGTTTGGGGTGGAAATCACTGGAGGAGCGCAGAGCCATTTATAGACTCACACTTTTATACAAGTCCATTGACCACCAAGTAGCAGTCGACACAGATCATTAGCGGGCTAAATCAGAGAAGGGGGGAATAACAACGTAAAAATCTTCCGCAATCTCCTTTACCCATCCATCAGCACCGAAAGATTGCTTCAAATTCTCCTTCATACAAGGAGCCTTGTGGAGTGTAATCGCCTGCTTGCAAACGTAAGGGAAGCCGCAACTTTTCAAACCTTCAAGACCAATCTTGGCGACATCCAGATATCATCTTTAATAAGGAGGGGCCATCATTAGCATCCGCTAGCCACCAGGCACCTGCAACTTACATATCCCTTTAGCGAGGATTTTTGCAGTATCCAGCAGATGCAGACGCTAAGATTTTATACAACAGCACCTTCTTTAATGCCACCCACATTGCCCTGGGCAACAAGCAACACCTTGGCTTCCTCTTTTCTCTTAGCTGCGAGACAGAAAAGATGTCTTTTACAGTGCCTCCAATAATAGATACTTCATCTTTATCTGTATTCCTAATATCAGCAAGAGTTGTAATAATAAAGATAAGATATCATAGAACACCTTATTGTGTTTTCTAACTTTTTTTCGTTATTAAAGTGAAAGTTAATAAAAAGAAGGAACGAAAAATGTTGCTTCAGAAGGCATTGCCCCGAATCGTCTGTACTTTTTGTGTGTGGCTCGGCGGACAATGACGTCTTGCCGTCCCGCCAGACTGGAGACCATGCAGGTCGGGCAGAGCACGTTAAAGATTTGCTTACCCTGACCAATGCAGTGGGAACTGAGCCAAAAAGGAAATACGGGGCAGCAAGGGTGGCAAGACCAAGGGCAAATCCCAAGCTGCTACCAGTGTTCGTCCCTAGACTGAAGGAGTCAAACACAATAAATGGGGAAAACGGTCTCGTGTGCAGTCTGTAGTACTGTATCTGATACGATTTCCGTGTTTTCTGGTCGTGGGTTAACAGCTCCGCGTGTGAGCATGCCGAGTCCGGCCATTTTTCTCCTCCACTGGTTCTTTTCTCGGATCCCATTGTGAGCCAGGCCGGGCTGTATCTATTGCGGGAATGAAAGTTGAAAGCATTTAATTCAATTTCGGCATCATTATCAGCCCTCGCAGGAGCGGGGGAAAAGGGACCCGTGCATGGCCAACTCGCAGCCAAGGTTGCCCCTAATATCACCCCAGCTTCACAGGGTTTGAATATTCTTTCGAGAAAAACTTGAAGATGTTCTGAAAAAGTTAGGACTGCGCTCATCATCCTTCTTGCTGCTCCTCACAGAATATCTAGCCTGTGCCTGTGAAGAAGATTCCACCATCCCAGCGGATATGGTGACAGCAGCTTTTCACTATCTCTACAATACTCTGCATATTGCCCTTATACAATTCGCTAGAATCTCAACACTTGCCACTTGCTTTGACAACCTTTCACTGCCAGGCAACGACTTGTTTGCCAGCAAATTTCAAGAACTAATGGAGGCAGAGGCTAAAAGCACAGAGGCCACTGACAAAATCAATATGCGTAGCCTACCTCCAAAACACCTCAGGAGAACCCAAAAGCACGGAAAAGAAAACCCACTTTCCAGATCCCTGCTCGTCCACCCTTTAAGGCCGTTCGAAACTCCCCCTGAGGCCGATTTCAAGTCTCTTTGGACAGACAGGGTGGTCGTACATGACCTACCCAATCCAACCATAGGCCTCAGGCAAGTGGTCAGACATTCAAACCTCTGGCACAAGTGACATGCGCAACGTCCACCATCCTCCTATTGTTGGACCGGTAGGTCAAATTGAGAGCATTGGAACAGGAGATCAACTACTTTGGACAAAAGAAGCAGTCCGTATTGTGTACCCTGCACAGGGGGTACGGGGGTTAACATCAACCTTTTTCCTAACTTCCAAGAAAGAGACCGGCGTTTGGCGACCGCTACTGAATTTGAAACCCCTCAATAAATGTATTCGCCCAAACTGTTTAGTATGGAAACGTTGCAGGTAGTGCTAGACTCCATTCCACTTCGCTTATGGGCAGCATCACTCGACACGTACCTTCACATACCAGTTCATACAAATCACTACAAGTACCTCAGGTTTCACTACATGGGAACAACATACAAGTTCACAGTCCTTCCCTTTGGGTTTTCCACATGGCCACGAGTATTTACGAGAGAAGTGAAGGCAATAGGAGTATCACATTGCAGGCGGGGATCACCGTGTTTATGTACCTGGACGACTGGCTTAATCCGAGTGCCAGTTAAAGACTGACATGCAAACAGTGGTACAGTTAACCCAGAGTCTAGCTATAGACCTCAGGTTTATAATCAACGAGAAAAAGTCACATCAAATCCCAGCACAGTCACCAACATTCCTGGGTGCACTCCTGGACCTCAAACATGGATGGGCCCACCCAACAATGGATCGCATTGTGAACCTACTACAGTGTGTAGTGCTGTGTTTAGAAAATATATCTGCCCATGCAAGAGCATGGCCAGCATGGTGGACCTATAGTGCCATTTTGCCGGCTCAGGATGCGTCCTATTCAGCCTCATTTACTTATGTTTATCGGTCCAAGTTAACACCCACTGCACCATGTGGTGAGCATAACTACAATTCTGTCTCCACACCACACTTCTGGGAGGTAGGGGGGGGGGGATGTTTCTCCAGGCGAAGGTTTTCATTCACACTTCTTCTTACTTCAGTACCAACAGACAAACAGAAATGTTTGGTACTAGAAACAGAACTACAAACCCTCCTGCAAAAACAGCATTTTCACCTAATGGTAATTGACCACGGGATACCTGTGAAGTCGAACAATTCCACAGTAGTGTTATACATGAACGAGGGGAGCACCTCAACTTTGCCTTGAAACCTGCGACTATTGAGTGGTACATTGCACACAGGATAACACTTACTGCAATTCAACTGGCCTGAAAGCTGAACCTAATGGCAGATGCTGTCTTGAGGGGGAGAATTATCCTGATAGAATTGACACCACATTCAAACAATGGATCAGAATATTTTCCAAAGACTCAATTGCCACACATAGATCTGTTTGCTTCAGGTCTCCACAACCAACTACCAATATATTATATTCTTGGCCCCAATCCCAATGCCCAGGCAACAGATGCACTTTTTATCAGTTGCACAAACAAGTCAAGTTATACCATCCGCCAATTCCCCCTGCTTGAAAGGTTTTCAGGAAGATGTAGGCAGAACATTGCAAGATTTAATCCTCGTTGCCCATTGTGGCCCTGTCAAGTATAGTTCCACAACTAGTCGATCTCCTCATTCACTCACCGATACTTGGTGGATCAACCTCCTTGCACATTCCTGCTCCCAGAGCCACAGACTCTTCATCTGATGTTTTCTCAGCAGGCCTTCAGCAGACTCTCTAGCCATTATTGACAGTTATATAGCATCCCATTATGGCAGTGTAGTGGAGCAAAGACTAGTCTATAGATCACAGCCTCTTGGAGACAAGTCGGTGATAGTCTTACGGAATGGTTAGATCAAGGTCTTTATGTTGCCGCAGTGAGAGGCCACCATTCTGCCATAGCTTCCATCCACAAAAAAAAAAATGGTTCTGCAGTTTCAAATGACAGTATTGCTGAAACAACTTCATCCGGGCATATTTGTCAGTTGACTACCCCAACAGTGACTTAAAACCATCTTGGGACTTGCGCAGTCCTATCAGCCTTGACCAAAGCTCCATAGGGGCCTCTTTCTACTGAATGCTTGCCTGCTCCACTTGACATAGAAGACAGTCTTCCTGAAGAAGCTACAGCTCGGAAACACAGCGAGTTGCATGCCCTACTCATAGAGCAGGGACAAGTTTGATGGAAAGCACATTGAGTTTGACTGGTTCCTCATGAATGTTCCTAACTAAGTATTAGTTGCCTTCATTCAAACCTCATAATTTCATTGCGGAGGTCAAATATGTTTCATCCGTCCGAGATGATAAGTTATGGTGTCCAGTTCAGGCCCTCAAGTGGAATTAAAACGGGACCAAACTTCTCAGGGGTGCAACTGACCAGTTTTTTATTATGACATTTCAGCCATATATATTCAGGGTCATCATGTCATACAGTATCACAATGAGTTGTTAAGTACCGGATTGGCCTGTGGATGCAGAATCAATGCCCTAGCTAATGAAACAAGAGCTACATTGTGTTACGAGATCTTGGCCTGTTTGATAGGTGTCCCTTTGCCTAATATTTTACAGCCGGCTGCATGAGAAAACACCATCAACCTTTGTCTTATGTTCTCCGGTCATAGGGCCAAATGGAATGTATAGCCCTCAGTGCTGCCATATCATCTGATAATTCCATGTGTCAGAGTGGGAAGTCTCACATCTAGTCTTCTAGATTCCCTCAAGGGGCGAGTTCACCTCCACAAATACTGTACATGCAACCATAACTCACTGGGGGTGCACAAGTGGACACATACAGTGAAATCTCAAAGTCAAACTCTGATTACTTCAAACTCTTCTAAATCAAAGTAAAATCTTATTCCCGTCAATTGTTGTTGAATAGAAAATCCATTGGATAACTCAAAATTCTGCTTAACTCAAAATTTGAGCCAATTCCCTGAGGTTTGACTTATCGAGATTCCACTGTACCTAGTAAATCTTTTGTCCTTGCTAGACTGCATCTTTGGAAGCCTTATTCAAATAATTCAACATTAGACAGTGCTAGTTAAATGCAAATGTAAGTTTTATCTATGAAATGATGATAAAGCCTTTGATTTCTTGTCCTTGTTAAATGCACCTTCCACAGAAAAGACTTAATTCTCCTTTCTTCAATCAGTACTGAATACAACCTCTCCTCCCTCTCTCTCTCTCTCTCTCTCTCTTGGTCCTGTTGTTATTTTTTAATAAAAGACAATTCTCCAGTGATAAATATACATTGCATTTTTTTAATGGAAAGTCACCCCCAAGCGAGGCAATAAAAAGCCACTCAAGTCTGTAAAAGCCAGTTTGTTTTGTTGTTGGCGTACAGTTGTTCTCCAGTGGATGCAAAAGACAAGTTCTGGCTTATTTTTGTATCTGTTATTCCTCTTGTATAAAACTCCTTTTGTTTTTGTTACAGACACTAGCCATTTACGATCGCTTTGGACGCATAATGCTAGGGAGTGAAGACATCCCCAAAGACGTTTTGGACTATGTTGTGTTTGAGAAACATTTGTCAGGATTGTATGGATCATGGCGCATTCATGGCAAGATCATACCCGATTGGGCATCTTCACTTGAGCCAGTTATCCAAACTATGATAATGCAAGGACAAGGTGGTGAAACTGACATTGCAGTGGAGGACAGGTGAATAGTAGGTTAAAATAGTACGGAAATCAGATCTTCATAAGCATACAATAGCCAAGCAAGCAGTTGAATATGTGTGATCTATGATTAATGATTGATGGATGTCGAAGCACTGCATAGAAATATCTATCTGTGGACAATTAATGTGGTTTGAAACATTTCTGAGAATCTTTAACAATGCCAGTACCTAAATCATTAAAATACAATAGTTCAGGCTCTTAAAAACAATGATAAATAAACCTAATCCATGCCTTTGTTTAGTCCCATAATAGATGAAATTTAGACAAAGGCTATCAGTTTCGGTCCAAAAATTGGGCCATCGGTATCAAATGATCGAAAGGAGCAAAAATGCTCAAAGCAATTTTGGGGGAAAAAATGGAAAATTTGTGATAACTTTGAAGTGTGAGCGATGGCAGTTTTTTTTTGTATCATCACTTTTTCAATTTTTTTTCTTCAATATAGCCGACAATATGCTTGTTACCAGAATAATTGTATGTGGTAACAAGCATGTGTTGGTCGCCATTTAAAAAAAAAATATGTATATTTTCCTTGAATACCTTGCCAAAAATCACAATGAGTATTATTCCCCTCATTTGATACCGACCAAACCCAAGGCTGATTGCCTAACATGTAAAATGACAAAGTTACTTACAGGCACCTGTGTTGCTGTCAATAGTGATGGTGCATGCAATGACGAATGGTGTTTCTTGGTCATTAGGTTTTTGTTTTGGTAATTGAGGTACTTATAATGGATCACAAGTTCATGTACATCGCAGGTCCAGTCACAAGTAAATCACCTGTGGCCCCTGACCTGTCGCAATTACAGTGGGAAAAAAATATTCCTTTGTGACAGTCAATTGTATAGCTTGTTACTTGGTAAAAATGACTTGTAAAAGACTTGTAATGTCTTTGTCAAGTGATCCATGACAAGTACATGTACCTTGCTTTATACAGTGCTGGATAACAGTATAACAGTGATGCAGTGAGGAAAGCTGCCATTGGCAAACGTTAACGAGTGTGCACTTCTTTGCCCTGTGTATTTCCTTTGTTTGGGAGAGAGTGTTTTTCACTTACTGTTATTTTCATCTGTGGTTGTTTCAAATTCAGCGATGTACGTCCTCCTGCAGTTGCCTGATTTCAGGCTTTTTATAAAATTTTGTATACTTTTCTTTTATACTTCAAATTTGGGGCAAATATATCAGAGTTTACTTTCCCTCCATATTATGTCATTGATGAAAATCTTAACATTTATATCGTTTTTCTGTCATTGTACTCTTTCAGCTACTAGACAAATGTGCAGGGGGCTGGCAGATTAAGCATTGATTAAATAATGAACTTACGTCTCACTAGATTTATCAAAATCTACCCTAAATAGTTTTTTTTTAATGTCCTGTCTGTTGTAGATATATAGTAGAGGTGATTTAGCTTAAAGAGTGTCAGATAAACTACTGATAGACGAAACTGAGAATTTCATATAATTTAATAGACCGACCGTTGACTTTTTATGGTGAAAAAAACGGCTATGTGTGCTATCTTGTTTCAAATAAATAAGAAACGAGCTGTGAACTCTGGCAGTGAAACACAATGTTTTGAAGCAGTCATTATGCTCAAAACCCAATGCAAGTGCATGCAGGTTGTCATCAATGGCTGCAAATCCAGGACCTTTGCTGTCATTTCACTGGAAACAAGTCCGTGTAGATCACACAAGTTGTTCTTCACTTCCAAATGATCCCCACTTTAGTTCAGCCCACCTTCCACCGGTAATGGTTGGACTAAAGGGGTAATTGAGCAGTCTACCCAATTGAAGGAATAATGCAGGCTTCCCAATTTGCAGCGAGGAGGCAGATCTGCAATCTACAGCACCAGATGTTGACGAAGAGCTGTTGAAGGCAGCCTTTGCATTTTAGTGTCCTCGCAACAGCCTGAAGTGTTATCACGTAGCAAGCACAGTGTCAGTCTTACTTTTAGACCAAAAAGTTGGTTAAATCAAGAACATTTGGGCAGTTTGGTGTTGTGTCACGAACAACCGGATGTTTCACATCCACATCAAATTCTGTCAATCCAATCCGGGAAAAATGTGTGTGACTGGAATCTAGACTATCACTCCTTTTGCGAGGAGGCAGATCTGCAATCTACAGCACCAGATGTTGACGAAGAGCTGTTGAAGGCAGCCTTTGCATTTTAGTGTCCTCGCAACAGCCTGAAGTGTTATCACGTAGCAAGCACAGTGTCAGTCTTACTTTTAGACCAAAAAGTTGGTTAAATCAAGAACATTTGGGCAGTTTGGTGTTGTGTCACGAACAACCGGATGTTTCACATCCACATCAAATTCTGTCAATCCAATCCGGGAAAAATGTGTGTGACTGGAATCTAGACTATCACTCCTTTTGCAAGATGTTTGCGGACCAAAATTTGGTGCCCAAAAAATCCTTTGCACAATGATGAGGGTACTGTTTATAAAATGGACTTTACGTTGAGGTGATGTACAGTTTCTATTGGGTCTTGCCCTACATCAATAATTACAATATAACCTGATACTTCACCCCTAGGCCTGGTAGGGCACTTCCGGAACTTTTGAATTGGAAAATTAACATGCAAAAATTCTAAATTGCATCAAAGCTTTCCTTTGCCACGCCGAAACAGAACCTTCACAGCCCTCCACAGACAACCTATCCCTAGCACATTACTCGAGTAATGACTCGAGTCAATGACTCGACTCGAGTCGGACTCGAGTCGCAACTTTTGGTGACTCGACTCGACTCGAGTTACTGCGAGCAAATGACTCGACTCGAGTTCCTTATCAGAATGACTCGACTCGACTCTAGGAAGGCTGATAAGATTTGAGTCCCCAAAATAAAAGCAAAACTTGGCGATAAATATTTGCAATGACTTATGCCTGTGCTGGTTTTTGTTCACGTCACGTTAGAATGTTTGCGAATAATGTACACATGTACATTAGTACATGTGTACCTCTGACATCTCTTGATATGCAACTTTATGCAAGCCGTGCGCCAGCCAATCGGAGTCGACTTTACTTAATCGTGACGTCATTTTATTCCTAAATCAGGATTAAATGGTTTGATTGGTCAATTCGAATGCAGTGCTTTGTAATACATTACAACAACCGGCCCCATATCGCGTAACATGATACAGAGCGCGTGACACGTTTCTTTTAATCCATTGTCTGTGTGACGCGCAATGAGTGAATGACCGAAGACTCGATATAGAAAGCGCCCGCTGATTGGTCAAAATCTAGGAGGTCAAGAGGCGGGGTCTTGCCTAATTAATCAGCAAATCTGTTCACGCGAAATAGACCACGGCGAATTACATAGACTAGCCCGGAGGGGGGGGGGGGGGCGGCTACCGGAGATAATGTAGAAGCCGGAGCCCGACAAGAATACCGCAATGCAAATATTGCAAATATAGAAATAACTTAAGGAGATTCATAGAAATTGCGATAAATACAAAGATTTGAGGACGTTTTCGAACGATTTCTTCAAGCCTTGAAGGTCAGCTTTACCGGTAACCAGTATTGACGTTTCGGCATCGATGACGGTGAGTTTTGTCACTGACATGTTCACATGAAATTTAGAATTTCCTCTTCCGTTATAATTTAACATTTCAATCATAGAAAAAACACACCGTTCAAAAGGCAATGTTTTTGGGTGCATGAATTTCACTGCTCGGTCCCTTGCTCTATGGTTATGGTTGCTCTATGGTTTTCTAACAACGGGGAACGCTTATAGGCCTTCGCAACCACACGGCTGTACAGGTTCAGAAAAACACGTTTTTTTGCATCTTTACCATCGACAACTTTCTTTTCTTTTGCTTCTCAACGGTACGGCTCAATTGTAACCTACCAATAGTTCAAACAGTTGTGTCCTTTTGTCACTCACTTGTGTTCTTTTTGTTTCGTTTTAATTACCTAAGGACAGTGGCGTAGCTGTCGCCCCCCCCCCCCATGAAACCTTGTCGCCCCCCCATGAAACCTTGTCGCCCCCCAGTCGCCCCCACTGAGATTTTGAGTTTCTAAAAAAAATATCATTGATCTACATGACGCCCCCCCCCCCCATGAAATGTTCCAGCCCCCCCTCCCCCCCCCCCCCCCCCCCCCCCCCCCCCCCCCCCCCCCCCCTGAAAAATTCCTGGCTACGCCACTGCCTAAGGAGAAATAGAATAGAAATGTACTTTCCTCCGTAAGAATGGAGGAGGAAAGTGGAATTTGTATTCGTTTTTGCATTGGCACACAATACACGATTACGTTACTTTACTATCAACCTACGATAATGGCCATGCTGGCCACGCCCGAGCTCATTTTAGGTCGAGCAGTTAACTTTGCCGTTCCACTGAATTCCCCACCCAGCCCAAACCTAAGACTCACAAAACCTAAACTTAGTCTAACGACATATACATTATAATACAGGGTGTTTAAAAAAAAAAGGAAACCGAGCTTATTTTGTTGATTTCTCGGGTAAGACTAATTATTTAGGAAAATGGTAACCACCATTTTACATGTTTTTCCTGACACCACGAACTCCATTTTACCGCCACGGATGACTGAGCATCAAGTGATGAAAACTGACATGCCAGAAAAGGCCTTGTACCATATGCACCATAAGACCAATTGACAGTTTTCAGCATGTTGACAATAACAAAATCCAGGACGTACATTATCAAAGTCATTTATTCAATTGCTAAAACATATCAAGGTTTATCACTGTTCCTTTTAACCCCACTGTCCTTCAACATGCCCCCCCCCCCTCCCCCTCCATTCCTTTCAAAGCAAATCTCTGCCCCGGTTCTCATTGCTGTGAATGCATTCCTGATAACGCCTCTCTGTCCTCTCAAGTTCTCAACAGCAGCCACAATCCTGGCCCGTAGCTCATTGATGTCTCTGGGTGGCGACGTGTAAACCTTGTCCTTAAGAAGAAGTCACAATGGGTGAGGTCTGGGGACCGTGGTGGCCATTCGATCTCATGGTTGAGGGCAAACACTAATGTTGAAAAGGTACCTCAGTCTGTCTCTAACGATAATCCTCCGATGAGGTGGAGCCCGTCCTGGGCCCACCATAATCGCCTGAACACCCCCACCATGCGCGGAGTGTTGCTGCAACCGTGGAACGATTTTGTTGTCGATCATTTCAAGGTACTGTTCTCCATTAAGAGTGTCATCGAAGAAACAAGGTCCGATGAGTGTCCCATCTCCACATAGGCTTATCCAAAGAGAGATCTTCTCCCTACTCATGTTTACATCAACTTGGTGAAGAGAGGCGGGTTATGCCGCGATGCATATTCACGGACATTTTGATTATTGACTCTGCCATTCATATAAAAAAAACCAGCTTCATCCCCATGCTCCAAGTATCTGGGCTGTTGGTCAAGGAGCCACCGGCAAAATCGTAGTCGTCTGGCTAGATCCGCAGCAAGAAGTTGGTGACGCCTTTGCATTTTGTACGGGTACCAGTTGATCCAGCCGCAAAATCCTGTTGAAGGATGAAGATGAAATTGCTAAACCAGTCCGCCTGGCAGATACATAGGGGTTTCTTTCCAGTAACTCACGGACGGCCTGATGGTCTCATTTGATCGAGCCGTCCTTGGTCGACCAGAACGACACTTGTTGAGGTTTTAACTTGTACCTTCTCTCTGGTACTTCCTGATGTTCTACCAAATTGTGGACTTCGCAGGAACGCACGGTCTGGAAATTGTTCTGCAAATCGATCAGCAACTTGCTGAAGGCTCCCACTTCTCAACCACTCTGTCACGATGAAAACTCGCTGCTTCGTTGTTAGTTGCATCTTGCAAGGGTCTAGGTGGTCTGAGCAGTGCACGGCCTTTTAAGAAGACATGTACACGGGCCGGGTATGGTGAAATTTAAAAATTAAACGAAATGGAATATAATGTAATTGAAGTTTAATTATATTTCTACCGAGTCTATACCTATAGCACTGAAGGACTTACGTGAGATTGCACCTGTCACCGGTATGTTTCTTCACAGTTGAGAGAACCCATTGTTAAAGAAATGTTCCCCACTACATGTATATAACCGCACCCGAGGCTCGTATCCTCAGTGCGTTGTTTGTGCGAAGTTGTCCGTCAGAAAAACGGGATGGGTAAATATTATGGTCGTTTCCAAATTTTTGGGTGGGAACGTAAGTCCTTCAGTGCTAGGAAGTAGACTCGGTAGAATTATAATTAAACTTCAATTACATTATATTTAAACTTCAATTACATTATATTTCATTTCGTTTAACTTTTAAATTCTACCTCGCTATCCCTAGCACCTCGTCCTTACCTGAGATATTTAGAGACCACCTGACGGACAAGAACAAGAAGTCACCAAAATCATTTGGACTCGTGAACTTCAAAGATCGTTTAGTCTCATTAAGCCGTATGTTTCTTCTCATACATTCTTACAAAACTACTTATCGTAATAACTTAATGATCAACCATTCAGTTGCGTGGTAACACAATTTTGCTTCACGTCTCTATGGACGTTACAAAACTAATTGTCGTAATAAATTGTCGTAAAAAAATTCAAATCTGAAATTTATGAACAAATTCAAAGAC